AAAAGACGTATACCCAATCGATCTTTCTTTTCGGTTCGTTATATTTACTCGAGGTGAGCGTTCTCTTGAAATATATGAACGTTCCATGCGCCATGTACTCAAACACCATTGGTCGCATCAGGGTCTATAGCCGGTTGGTAGCCGTCGTTTTAGAAACAGTGTTGTCGTGCCAACACCGTCTCATTTCCTCTCACTCGTCCACTTTTTTTCTGAGCCTTTATCGCTATTTCATATCGTTAAGTTTCGCGATACGCGCGTAACACTGGCAGAGTGAGGGCTTACGGCAAGCTGTCGTCGCCCTTCACTATCTCCAGCGGTGTGAGACAAGGATGCCCGCTATCACCTTTCCTCTTCAACTTCGCTATTGACGTCGTCATGGAGACTGCATTTACAGGACACGACTTAGAAGGTGTGGATCTGCTCCCAGGAGAATAGCTTCTTAACTTAGAGTATGCAGATGACATTGCTCTCATCTGTGAAAGCTCCCAGACGTGCAAGGCCGCACTGGACAGATTGGCACTGACTGTCAGCCGCTTCGGGCTTTGCTTTGCACCATCGAAGTGCGAAGCGTTCCTGCAAGATTGGCAGGGATCGCCTCCTTCGCTGACACTTGGTTGGGATCAGCTAGAAGTCATTCGGAAATTCAGCTACTTGGGAAGTTGTATCAGCGCCCTTTGAATTGAGGATGAGGTCACGAACCGTATATCAAAAGCTCGAAGTGCTTTTGCTAGTCTTCGCCACCTATGGCGGCGGCGTGACATCACTCTCGCCCTGAAGGGTAGAGTGTACAATGCAGCGGTACGTTCGACCTTACTGTACGGTTGCGAAACCTGACCCCTAAAACCAGCGGACCTGAAGAGGCTAGTTACGTTCGACCATCGGTGCCTTCGCAGTTTGGCTCACATCTGGTGGGAACACCGCGTGAGGAACGAGCGTGTTCGACGCCTTGTTTATGGCACAGGAAAAGGAACTGAACCGCTCAGCACCGTCATTTCACTCACCAGGCTCCGATGGCTGGGCCACGTGTTGCGCATGCCAGCCAACCGATTTCCGCGATGTGCGTGGTTTGCGCGCCGGGGATGGGGATGGAAGAAGAGGAGGGGCGGTTAAGCGATGGCTTGGTCGAGAAGAATGAAGGCCCTCACTTCGGGGCTTGCCTCTGTTGGAGCTTCACGGTTCCCTGGTTGGGGTCCGAAAGACGATGAACCCGGTTGGATAGATACACTTGCTGACATGGCAAGGAACCGACCTCAGTGACGTTCGTGCTGTGAGTTTCTTTGTCCCTCCCTATCTTTTTTAGCCTCCCCCTCCAACCACGATCTCAGTTCATAGCGCAATATAAGTTTAAATAATAATTGTTCTTGTTGCCTGCTAGCCGGCTGGTAGCTTACCGGAACGATGCCCGTCCGTTTCTGGTAGCTCAGCTGGCATGCAACAGTTGTATTTATTTCCTTTTTCTTTTATGTATTGCGGCACAATAACTGTGTTTCCCACCTCTAGCCAACGTGTATACTGATGATGATGATACATATTCTGGGTTCCTGTTGGGTAGTAAATTGACTGGTGTTATTTATATGGACGATATTGTTTTGCCATTCGCGATGTGGCACTCTTAACTTCTTGCGACGCCTCATCTTTTGGTGCACACCTTCACTATCATAGTGTGAAATGTTGTCACAGCAACGTCAGCCACTTCCGCACTGTCTACTTCGTGATAACGTGGGGCCTGAGAGATTTGGTTAGTTTGCTTCTTTTTGGCACTGCACTACCAGCGTCGGGTGTGTGATTAGTGAACTTAATCAGTTGTTTCGCGAGCTAGGAGTGACTTCATGCACCCGTGTCACCTTTGGAGAAGCTGTAGGAGTTTCCGTTTGACTAATGCAGGGCTGTTTAGCTATACAGTGTTAACATTTGGCCCATTTAAACATCTCGATCACCCACACGTTCCCTGGCATATGTGTGGATTCCGCGTTTTCCTCGCTTGTTGACGATAATCACTTTCCTTTTTGTGGGACCTCACTGCTTGGTTTGCCATGTTGCCTTTCATAGATCTGAGTCGCTCACACGTCGGACCTTGTGATACTCTAGAAACTAATAGAAAGGCATCAACAGTACGCCGGCACGTGGTACTGACGCTTCGCTGTCACGCAAACACCACCAGTCGCACGTTGGCTAAGGATACTGCGAGGATCGTCCGGTCCCTGCGCAGGCTCAAATCTGCGCCCTCAGGTTATACGGCAGACTTGCGATCCTTAAGACTACGGGCCGGCTAGAAACGAATAGAAACCCGTCTCTCGCTAAATGTCGACTGTTTGTCCCTTTTGAACCATTCATTGCTTCTCGTTTTGCAAGTCAGTGAAGGGTATAAGAAAGCTAATTATGACGCGGGGCAATGAAACCGCAACGTAGCTGTCTCGCCGATGCCACCTTATCTTCACACGATAGCTAGCTGTTTGTGACGGTTGATGCATTGGCCGTGAATGTTTGCTTAGCATATTAATGTTTTGCACTAGGTCTCCGTTCCCCTCCATTTTATTTTTCTTCATCGCGTAGGTCCTTGTGGCTGTACCGCAACGAGACCCGGGTTCATCTGGAATCATCATCATCATCATCATTACACGTTAGCTGGAGGTGGAAAACACCTCAGCTATTGTGCCGCAATACAAAAGGCAAGAAAAGAAAACAAACATTAGCACGCCCGCTGAGTCCCCAGTAACGGATGGACATCGTTCCGGAGAGCTAACAGCTGGCTGCCGTAAAAGAAAGTCATATTATGCCTAACGATTGAGATCGTGATTGGAGGGGGATGCTAACAGGAGGGGGATGGACAAAGGAACTCACAACACAAGTGCCATTGGGCCGGCTCCTAGCCATATCAGCAAGTGTGTCCAACCAAACGTGTTCACCGTCCTTAGGACCCACCAGGCAGTCAGGATGCACCAACCGACGCCAACTTCGAAGTGAGGGTTTTCATTTCTCTCGACCAAGTCATCACTTGGCCTCCCCTCCTCCTCTTCCAACCGCACCCACAACGCGCAAACAATGCACGTCGTGGGAGTCGGTGTGCTGGCATGCGCAACACGTGGCCCAGCCATCGGAGCCTGATGCGTGATATAAGGGTGCTGAGCGGTTCACTCGCTTTTCCTGCACCAAATACGCGACGTCGAACACGCTCATTGCTCACGCGGTGTTCCCACCAGACATGAGCTAAGCTGCGAAGGCAGCGATGATCGAATGTGACGAGCCTCTTCATGTCTGTCGACCTGATGGGCCAGGTTTCACAGCCATATAGGAGAGTTGAACGGACGGCGCTTGTAAACTCTGCCCTTCAGGGCGAGAGTAATGTCGCGTCTGCGCACAGGTGGCGGTGATTGGCAAAAGCACCTCGAGCTTTGCTTACGGTTCGTAACCTCATCTTCAATCCCACGGGTGCTAATATAGCTGCCCAGGTATTTGAACCCCTGAACGACTTCTAGCAGATCACCACCAAGCGTTAGCGCAGGCTTGGGTCCCTGTCAATCTTGGAGAAGTACTTTGCATTTCGATGGAGCAAAACATCGCCCAAAACGATTGACAGCCAATGCTAATCGGTCCAGTGCTCTTTGGCATGTTTGGAGGCTGTCACAGATGAGGGCAATATCGTCTGCATACTCCAAGTCAAGAAGTCGCTCACCATGGAGTAGCTCCACACCTTCTAGGTCGTGTCCAGCGATCGCTGTTTCTATGACTTCATCAATAGCGAATTTGAAGAGGAAAGGTGACAGTGGGCATCCTTGTCTCACACCGCTGGTGATACAGAAGGGTGGCGACACTTTGCCATAAACCCTCACCCTGCCCGAACTATGTGCGTACAGCGCTTTGATAATTTTTACATATTTATCAGGCACACCTTTCCTCAACAGACAGTCCCAAAGGGCACATCGATCGACTGAGTCGAAGGCACTTTTTATGTCAAGAAACACGACAACCGTGGGTCGCCAATAAACATGGCGGTGCTGCAACACTTGACGCAAGGTGAAGATGTGGTCGATGCAGCCCCGACCTCGACGAAATCCGGCTTGCTCTTCACGAATCTGGCTTTCACGAGTGCCAGTCAGTCTGTGGAGCATGAGAGAGGCAAGCAATTTAGAGGCAATGGAAATCAGACTGATCCCTCTATGATTGCCGCATTCTAAACGGGAGCCTCCCTTGAAAATTGGGACAATGACGGAGCGGTTCCAGTCTAGTCGGGACTGTCTCCTTCTCCCAATGTTTTACTAGCAACTCGTGTAAATCATCTACTAGAGCAGGTCCTCCGAATTTGAAGAGGGCTGGGGGAATTCTATCTGCCTCTGCTGATGTACTCAATTTCAACAGCCTGATCTCACGTTCGACTTTTGCGCGTGAGGGCGGATCCACGGAGACGGCCCAAGGAGAAGGGCGCACAATGCCCGAAGAAGAAAGCGATAACTCAGGTTGGTTAAATTGCCTCGCAAAGTGTTCAGCCCAACGCTCCAAGCGTTTTGACAGGCTGTGGATCATCTGCCCACTCTCGTCGCGTATGGTCTCGCTAACACCAGGTCTCCTGCTGCCTGTTTCCCGTATCAGACGGTATAACTTACCATGATTACCAATGGCAGCGGCTGTTTCCATCTCAGAGGCACGATGAGACCACCAGGTTTCGCGGTCCCTCTTTAGGCTAGCACGTAGTTTTGCCCTGAGATTTTTGCTTCATTGTATTCGCTTCCAGCCGGAATACGTCGGCGAGCATCCATAAGTTCCATAGACTGTGTAGAGACCCAATGTCAACTTTGGAAATTTGCTTTGCCACATGAAGACATGCCTGCTAATAGCAACGCTTGACGAGTATGCGACCAGTGATCTTCAGCGGTGTTTAGTGGGCGCTTACTCAGCCGAGATGTCAGCGCATCTTGGTACACATTCAGAACATCTGGCTTCTTCAGCTGGCTGGTGTCAATCTGTTCACATCGACGTCGCGGACGTCCACCGAAACGCACCAGGAGGTCGGCACAGACAAGTGCGTGGTCAGAGTCCACGCTCGTGCTCCAAATCGAGCGATAGTTTTGGACACAGCCTCTCCAGCGGTAACTGATCGCGATATGATCGATTTGCGTCCATGGCTGGCCCGAGGCTGGTGGCCGCCAAGTCACACTTCTGCGGGTGCTGTGTCGAAAGTTAGTGCTCGCGAGAAAGAGAGCATATTCGCACAGCTGTAGAAATCGCTCACCATTATCATTACAGGAGCCTACACCATGTTGGCCGCCCAGATGAAGCTCATCAGAGGACAATTTTCCGACTTGGGCGTTTAGATCGCCAGCCAGCACCACAGTATCCGTGCTTCTTCTGCAACGAAGGAGCTCGTGAAGTTGCTGATAGAAATCATCTTTTACCGAATCAGTGCTACAGTTTGTAGGGGCGTAGGCCGCAATGACAAACAGACACCGTTTGTCCCCGCACGACTTCGTAGCATGGAACGAACCAGCTAATCTAACGGCGCACATCCTACTGTTTACTGGGATCCAATCAAGCAGGGCAGCTTCAGCCCGGGGACTCAAAACAATGCCGACGCCAGCTTGACCGGCATTTGAAGCTGCATCATCGCCAGACAAGCGCGATGAGAATGTGCCGCCAGTGTCGCATGTGGGCAATGTCAGGGTAAGCACGGAGCTCGAACCTTGCAGGCGGGTTTCTGATAAACAGCAAATATCGATCGATAGGGTCTCTAGTGTGGGGGGCAAGTGCTGCCTGTTGGCCAATCTGCAGCAAAGTGCGCACGTTGAGGCATGCCAATCTTAGCGTGACACGAGGACTCCAAAGGGAAACGGATGAACTAACGTTGTCCGCTTGGTTGAACATGGACTTGTCGACTGGAATGGAGCGAGGCCCTGCGATTGTGTGTTATTTGAAATTAGAAGACAAGCGACTATTGAAGTAAGCTGGGGGAGGGCCAAGAATTGGGGATTGAAATTGGGGGGGGATATAAGAAAAGTTGGAGGGGGACAATAAGGATGCAGAAGCGCAAGAAGGGGTATAAGAAGACGGGAAGGCCTGAGCAGTAGCATCCAAACCCCTATCCACCCTGCTCGAGGCAGCAGATAGGGCGCCGTTGATTATCCTCTGCGACGGCCAGAGCATCAAGAAATTGTTGTAGGAAAGGTTCATTGTATGCTGTCGATGATGATGCTGATGGTTTTCCAGACAGAACCGACCTGCATCCTTTAAGCAGTCAACGTTCTTCTGGGAATGTGTTTGAGGCACTGTGATCGTCTCTTTCTGCTCCTCACTTTCGCGTTCTACTCTCGCTCACTTCATTTTTTTTACTTCCGCTATATCATGGCACAATGTGTTCTCGGCTGTCGCAAGCCGGTGAAGGCTTAGCGATGTCCAAATTTCGTACAGAATGCCCATTTTGTTGTCGAAACCGGGAAGAAACGTAAACAGAACGCGTAAGGCGAACAATTGTTTTCAATTTCTTCCACATCAGGCCTAGTACAGAAATATACTTAGGAACAATCAGGCTTGTGGGACAGTATACGGACACACCATTGCTTAGATAAAATTAAACACAAGCAGTTCTCGTGATAAGCGTCAGATGATCAAGTGATTGGCATCATAGATAATGCCCATGGAAAAGTACGACACAGCGTTGCAAAGAGAGCAGTTTTCGGTAGTTCGCATCAGGCAATTACAGGTAAAGGACTGGTAAATGTAACCGTAAACTGGTGACGGCAAAAAGGAGGACGGATGGAACGGTTTGAACAGGTTTAGCATGTTCGTTCGATGCTCAAATCGATTTAATCAGGTGACATCCTGATATAGCTAACCGACAGCAAAATGACTTGTTTCAACAGAAAAGAACAAAATACTAACCAATACCAATTAGTTAATTACATAAATAGCATCCGGTTATGCGTAGAACTCTGGGGGAAGACTGTCTGTTCGAGCTTGAGACGCTGTTATTTGGTATACTTATAAGGACAAATGTTTTCTACCAAAAATTAACTCGCTTTCAATGTTGCTTTTTTACTATGCGTTCTGTATGTGACAAAATTCGTTATTTGCAAGCAAATAAGTAGGCATTGACAATAAATGCATCGATAACAATGCTTCAAACTTAAAGCAGCTACAACGAAAACTTATTCGTTCAAAAAGCCAACAAGCTACTCTTCGGAGCGACGAGATACAAAGCGTCAGCTCCATAATACATAGGGTGTTAATAAAACAAACGAAATGGGAAGATTGGTTCCTCACGCGCATAGAACGAAGACTGGGTGAGCATTGTTTTACAATGTGGTCAATCTGTTTGAAGCATCCAACAAACGAGTTACAGATGCACTGGTACAGACGTAGGACTAAACGATTAGACATACTTGGCACCAAACGGGATCTAAATGCATTGATGGTGTTCATACAAAGGTACAGTGAACCATATAGGCTAACAACAGAGATGAAGTAAAGCATCAACAGTGTGCCGGCACACCGCGCCGCCGCTTTGCTGCCGCACGATCGCCACTAGTCGCGCGAAAGTTGGGTATATATCTCGAGGTCGCCTGCACCCACACAGATTCGAACCAGTGAACTTCGAATTAAAAACGCGGGCAAGTAATTTTTTTAGTCACTAGCTGACATGTCAAAGTGTTAATAAATAATGTCAGCTGTACGCTTCGCTACCGTGGGACCACCACCAGTCGCACGCAGGCTGAGTATACCGCGAAGAATTCACATGTCAGTGCGTGAAAGAGCGGAAAGACATTTTGAGAAACGGCTTCACATAGATTATTGTCAAAGATTTACTTGCATGAGCGATCACCATATTTACTACATCTTATACCTTCTTGATTTACCTTAAAATTTTCTTTTGTGTATAAAACATCGCTTACGTCAGCCTGCATGGCAACCGTTCTCACACTTTGTCTACAGACAATTCTTGCTCCTCTAGTACCTGACACAGTCACCATCACCATATTTCTCCGTTCTTCTCGCTCTTCTTTTTCTTCTAGACCCCGATTGAGTCCTGATTATGTGTTTCAGCTTTTGTGCGCGCTTACTTATCAGAATGCTTGTGTGTGTTTGTCGTTTTCCAGCGCTAACTACATTTTTCATTATCGGTTCAACGGCAGTTTACATGTCGCTTCTGTCATTGGCTTAGAATGCATTCCGAACTCTCAACGTATGTAATTTTCAGTCAATGCGACACTCAGGAACCATTCTGGCCCCAGTTATCGCTATGTAAGCCTTTGCTGCATTCTCTATCACTGTTTGCTGCTCTGTTTCGGTTTAACTGGGGAGCCGCGTTGCAATTTGCAATCTCTGCTTCAGCGATCTCAACCCCCACCGCGTATGACGGTTTGTCTTTGCACTGTAGCAATGTGTCAGTTTAGAGTACTGACGGGTCACTGTCAATTTGCAGCTAAATATCCAGTTATTCCCCCATCAAACATCTCTCGTTCTCGAAGCGTGCAAAGGGTGAACGGGAAGCATGGTCAAGATGATATTCGCATTATGACTGTTAAACAACAAAGTAATACTACCGGCGTAGTTCAGCTTTCGCGCAGCATGGCCTCAGTTCCTCCGCCGCCCTATTTTGAGAGGAAACTCTGCGATGTGATTGCTGGATTATGCAAGAGCGACTTTGACCGAACTACCTGTGTGCGAGTCGTCCGTTGTGTGTGTATCGCTTGAAGACCGTTCCGAACCGCGGGACTAAATTGATCCCACTCCTGAATAAGAGCAGAATTGTAGCGTCTGGCCTGTTAATCGAGCAATCTAAATATGCAGTCCAAATTTACTCTCAAGTAACAATAACTTGGAGCTCTTTCATTTTGGCCACTAAGACACTTAGCTTTTCAGTCCCCTCGAAACTCAAATGTCATGTATCTACAGGGTATCCACTCTTTGAATTGGAGCGGTGATTTACTGACTTCCCTTATCCCTTCAGCTACGCTGATTAATACTCTAAATGCCTAAAGAGATGCTCATACTCAGTAGAAATTTCCGAAATTTTGGCCTAGAGCTTCTACCAGTGGGCGCGTGACCGCTTAGATTATGCTGATGATATCGCATTAGTTGGTGACGATCCACAGAGTATGCAACTCATTCTGAATCATTCGATGGTCGAAGCATCTAGGTTTAACATGAGCTTCGCTCTCTCTACGTATATAGTCTTGTTTCAGTATTGGCCCACACGCACTCCCATGCTCGCCCTTGAAGGTGCGCAACGTAAAGAGGTAGCTAGTTTCGTCTACCTCACGAATTGTTTCTGCTAGCTGCACTATTAGCAAGTAAGTTTCTCTTCGCATTGCTAAAGCCCGATCAGCATTTGTCAATCCGCGGCACTTTTGATGTCGTCACGACGTCTCCATCTCGCTAAAGGACCACGTTTACAGTATCCGTTCGTTCACTGTTTTTGCATGGAAGCAAGTCCTGACCAGTGACGCGACACATTTGAAGCCGCCTCGCAGCGGGGATCAGTGGGGAACTTTCTGCGTAATTGTCTTGATTTGCATGTTTAATGCTACAAACAATAAACATGACAAAGAATAGAGACATGTGATAAACACAAAAATGTTTCCTTCGTTCCATTTTTGGTCAACTTATACTTTACTTTGATTCCCTTGGTTCTTTGATGTCTCCACGTCCATTCCATACAATCTTAATGAAGTATGTGAGTGTACCGTGGTAGGGTCAGTTCCATAGTCTTTGATCGCAACTACCACGTGCCTCGAACCACAAGACTTCTGGTCAAAAATGTGCAAGCCCACGTGCATTTGACCATGGTCGTTGGTACACAATACACTATGGCCGATAAACTCACGACTTTATTTATTCTCCTAGGCTGCGCATGGTAGACTTCAAGCGGTTAGCATCGCGTGATTCTGCAGCCGCACTCCCTAGTTGAATTTACTCCTACTGCTTTGGGGATCAGAATATTGAGTTTAAGCCATGTAAAACGCTACGTGCCTTAGCATGTCCTCTACATCTTCAAAGGGTGAGCATCTTTATGACACTGGGAAGCCTCACCGCTAGTTCTCAAACTCATAATCCAACCTCTTGAAGTGTCTGATTGGTTTATTGATATAGCTGGCATTATTACCACTTGTGGTCATATCATTAAGGGTTGTTGTACGCATTGTTAAAACTCTTGTGACCTTTTATCACCTCAACCACTTACGTTGACAGTGATAGTTAACTTTAGTGGTAGCTAAAATGATTTACAACACTGTGTTGATGCCTTTGTTGATTGCCTGGATCATATTCCTAGCCACCGGTCGTTGAGGACTGACTGTGTTTTACCAGTGGCACCTGTCTAGTATCACCGATCTTTACTGAGAGAACGTGCCAACAATACGGATCCTCATCATCATCACATGCAACAGCACTTTAGCCATTTGAACTGATACTTCGCCATCGTGGGAGCATAACGACCTACGAAAATAAATAAACAAGAATACGCAGAGAAGTGGGAAAACCTTACTGCTCTAAGACACATGCACTTTGTCAACGACATACTGTCACAAACAGCTGGCTATCGTACAAAGATAAGGCGGCTTTAGCGAGATAGCTTCCTTGCAGCTATCACTGTCGTGCATCATAATCAGCCATTGCTCCGCAGATAACCGATCACCAAACACCATTTAAATAGCCAGTCCCACTAAGAAACGGCAGCAGACACGCCACGAGTGTCAACTGCGAGCCATTCCCGGTAAAGTCTCGACCGATGCACAGGGCGTGTCACTTGGACTTCAGCCTGGAAGGCGAGAGAGAATAACAGCACCCAATTTTGTGATCAGTGACTTCAGTTCCCGCTGCCAGGTTAAATTTTGCCCACTTCCAGTGACGAGACGACCTTGGTGTGGTGCGATAGTTTGATCGCTTCGGCGATCCATTCAGCTGTGTTACGCGGTGCTTTTGTACCTTCCGAGACAATCACACCAGATGGTCAATGTTTAGAGGCATGACAATCTCCTTCTTCTGGCCTTTCAGTTTAAGGTTGGAGTTAAGGTGGTTCCTTACTTTGTAACTCAGTACCAAAACCCCCCTGTATTGCGGTCAGGTTTTTGAACCAAAGGTTTCGGTTGGGAACCCTAATCGTTCTCCTATCTATCCACGAGCAAAAGGACTATCCTACCAACACAATGTAGTGAATTTCTCTTCAAACGACTTATTGATACTCGGGCCGTCGCAGAGAATAATTAACGGCCTCCTATCTGCTGCCGGCCCTTGGGCTTAAGAAACACATGCCTGTCTTGTAATCCGAGGGCGCGGATTCGAGCCTGCGTAGGGACCGGGTGACCCTCGCAGTATCCTTAGCCCACGTGCAACTGTTGGTTGTGGCGCGGCAATGAAGCATCGGCACTGCTTATCGGCGTATTTCTCGTGCCTTTCTTACTTTTTTCTTTTTGTCTGTGCATACGTAGAAGGTGCCCAAACCAGTACAACTTATTCGGTCCTATCTATTGTTCTAAGGAACTAGCCTGATTGCCGCTATTTAGTATTCCTCTACGCACGTCATCGTCTCGGCCGCGCTGGTGCCATGCGACACCAGCAATGCTTCGCAGACAACGATGATTAAAGACTTGAGGACGCCGCAGATCCTCAGATCAAATGCGCCCTCGCTGTGACGTTGTATCATGTCACTTCAGACCGAGGGAACTGCCTTTGACGCCGCAGATGTCGCAGATTCATGAATGAAATTCTAGCTTTTGCAATACATGAACTAACTTCATGGATTATGCAGATTCAAAGATAACTGAATTGATTAACCACCTCGAATTTCTCGCAATTAAGTGTCAAGGGGATATCAAGTGGCTGGTCGGCTTGTAAAAGCACCTTTACTTTGCAGCTACGAAGCGCATGTCAAGTGATAGGATCAATATACAAAGGTTATTCAGGGTTGACTGGACTAAGACAACATCTGCATAATCAAGAGCAACTACCTTTTCACTAGACCGCACTTCAACGCCTACACTGTGAGGTGCTGCATTGGAACACTGTATGATGGAATCCATGACGAAGCTGAACAGTTTTAAGTAAATCAAATTGCTCTGACAAACGTCACTTGATTTTGAGAAACTATCTGGCAAGACACTGTAGATCCTGACGCGACCTATGTTCTATTATGGGATGCGCAAAATGTTCACGTATTTCAGGGCAGGTGATCGGTCGACTGAGTCGAGCGCACTGTTAAGGTCGTGGAGCACAGCCATTGTCGATCAACGGTGCAGGTTGCGCTGCTCTAGGACCTGCTGTATATACTTACGTGCTGGGCAAAAGCCTGCTTGCGCTTCTCTACTCCGGGATTCCCTTTCTGCAGTGAGGCGATGAATCAGAATTTTGTCACCACCGCTGTTAGACTAATATCCTTGTGGTTAACACAGTCGACGCGACTTCTCTTATTGTATATTGCCACCGAGGTTAATCAGCTGGATCTTCGCAACGGATATCCTGTTTGCTAATTCACTTGCTCTGCATGCCTCAACGTGTACTGCTTGCCAATACTGCACTTGGTTGGGTGAAATTCTGAAACAATTAATCTTTGACTTGGTGGAAGAGCGTGAATGCACTCACTGAACTATTGAGTCCCTATTCAGGATTAGGCTCTGAGATATTGTCTAGTCTCGGAGTCGGTTATGCTCCTCCTCATTCGTTGTCTAATTTCAGACACTTAATTGTTCCATCTGACGATTTGAATTCTTGTTCCTTCCTCTTGATTATTATTATTATTATGTTCCTTTTCATTATTATCTTGTTATTGCTTTGATGTGGCTTGTGTCAAAGCGACTGGATCCGCCTTGACCTCGGTGTACGGGCCAGGGTGTGGACAGACTGAACTGGACTGAATGACCTTACCCCGATGCTTCTTGGTGGATGGTGGTCGCAGGCAGGCCCGGGGACTTTCATGATTTCAATCCATCCCGACACAATACACTCCAAAACCGAATGACATCTTGTCTTTTGTTCCCTAAGTTCAGCTATGAACGTTGCCGTCCCAAGATGTAGACATTTACCCACCTCTCTGATTAGGTGTTCATTTCTTATTTTTGTGATCCTTTTCCATCGTTGTTGCTTTTTGCCACAACGGTGAATTACGTCAACCTAACCGGTACTGGAGTTCTAGGTGCGATCAGATCTGAGCGTCTTCCACATTAACTGAGGAGCCGAATTCAGCATCTATCTCTCTGCATCACCTTTCCATTATGCCGGCCGACGCGTTTCGGTTTCTCCTCCCTTTTTCTGTGTCCACATTATGGACTCGTGCCTGTTACTTCCGTTACTTTTCCATCCTAACTTCTTCTCACTCCGTGTATTCCCACTGTTCTCGTCTCTCTCATTTTACCAAGTTGTAGTGCGAGTCAATGGCGTTCTTTTTTCTGGGATTTTGTTTTATACTCCCCAGCAACTGCCTGTGTACACTGGAATCACTCACTTTGATTTCAGGTTTTCAACCCAGTGTCTTGCCGAGTTTGACGGGTGACAGTTCATTGTGCTCGCCTCTCTCTTTACTCCTTGCTTATTTTCCTTTACCATGTATGGCCAATTTGGAGTTCTTACGAATGGTTATTATGATGGAACCTCTACAGGGAGAGACGGAGAAATCATGCACGTTACTTCCACCGAAACTGTCCGAGATTCAGTGATTTAAGCTTCCGGTCCTCTGTCTGCGCATCCCAGGCCCAAATCATGGCTTTCACCTATGTTTGCATTCTTTGTCAGTTCGCATATAACCGCATGACCGCAAGCTACTGGCACAAAATGTTAATATGTTACTTGTGATCTTTTTAACATTGTTTCGGTACGTTGTCTTTCTTGTTTTCAGTTTTTTACTTGGTCCCTCTGTTCACCAAGCAGCTTTATCACTTTGTCTGTCCCGTAGGAGGAACTTCGTTTGGCCAAAAATCCCTCCAGTACATTTATGGGTGTTCACGTCAATCCCATGTGTGATGTTGCTCGTCTCCGAATGGCTCGCGCTCAACGACTTGGTCATGCGCTTGCTGAACGCTTGCTCTCATCTGGCGCCGCAGAAATATTGGAACAGCTGCGTGCATCTTCAGCCGCCTTGGAACCGAAACCCAACACGACCGCTAGATGACTTTTCTGGTTCACTACCATTAATTGCTTTCCTGCTATCTTTCAATGGGCTTTTAGGCAAGATCTGCGTTTTGGAACTCTTGTTTGGCCCCAGTGCCTTATGTTCCATGGGCCTTTATGACGATTTCTGTGTCTCATAGTTTCAATTGAATATACTTTTCTAATATATTCTCATCAACTTGTTCGCTTGCTATTTTTGATTGTCTGTGTTTCGATGTTGTCTCTACATTCAGGATGCATAATCTCGAACATTTCCTTTCTGAGAAATGGCTGCTTCGTATAAGATTTGGGCAATCCGTGACGACAAGACTGGACCTTAACGTGGTCTGACGGTTTGCATACCTTGTCGATCCATTGAGCTATACTGGGGGGGGGCATTTGGGCTTCTTGTGAACTATGTTCAATGGTTATAAGTCAAAAGAACTCAATCTCCTGATCCTATAGGTTGAGGGTTTGAGATGTGGTGGCGTCCACTTCTGTAAAGCGGAATCGTTGCCAAACCCACTGCTTTGCGGACAGGGTTTTGAGCCATAGACTTTCGTTGGGGACCCTAATTTTTCTCCTGTGTAGGTCTGGGCGCCCTGGCAGTATCTCAGCCCACGTGCAACCATGACTTCTTCAAATTTCATTCATATTCTGCATCGGCTATCGTGCAGATTATCAATGGTCACCTTATCTGTTGCATACAGCAGGGCGGATAGGCGAAAACATGCTACTGCCGGCGTTTCTCTTCTTTCTTTTCCACCTGTTTCTCCATCAAAGGGCGGGTCTATTGTGCAACTGTTCGTGCTGTACTGTTGTACGGATGCGAGACCTGGCCCATTCGTAAAGATGACTTGCGCAGGCTATCCGTCTTCGAGCACCGCTGTCTGCGGTCCATTGCCCGTGTGTGGTGGCAGCACCACGTAAGCAATGTTGAAGTTAGACAGCTTGTCTTGGGACGTGGAAGCCACTCGCTCGAGGAGCTCATCTCACTGCATCAACTGCGGTGGTTGGGACACGTATTGCGCGTGCCTGTCCAGCGTTACCCCCGTCGTGCGTTGTTTGCACTTGCTGGACAGGGCTGGAAGAGACGGTCTGGTGGCCTCGGCCGGTTGTTGTCGACTACCTGGTTGGGGTCCGAGAGACGAGGATACTTGCTGGTTGAAAACCTTGGAAGTTATGGCTCAAGGTCGATGTCAATGGCGGACGTGTGCATCAGTGTGTTGCGGTGTCCCTTCCTCCTCCCCCTAAAAACGAACAAACTGAAAAAAATTTCAAAAACTGTGAGTGGTAAACTTGACAAAAAAAGCATTTCTTGTTGCTCTTTTCTTATTATTCATATTGTTTTCCTATTCAGCCATGATTCCGATGGCACAATATCTGTAGCACAGATTGTGTATAATATATATAATATATACTTCCCCCCCCTCCCAATCCGCATTACTAGCTTTTTCGTATAATTTCCACTTTAATTGACAGCAACCGCAATGTTACTGGAGCCACACTATCTGCAGCTATGTTCCCGCATCAATCAGTGCACACTAATCGCCAACAGCTCCTTAGGAGCCCACACTGTCCCGTTTTCCTGGCGGCATACGACGTTTGCACTCTGAGACAAATAGATCAACTGGCTACACTCACACACATGTTAGACACGCTGACTATTGACGTGTGTGGTGTGTCCGAAACTGGGATAAATGACGCTAGCCTGGTTGTTGAATTAACTACACCAGGTTTGTCCTGTCGCTATTGGTTGCACGCATCCGGAGACGCTGATGCGGCAACCACTGATCACGCTGTAGTGGGCATTGTTCTCAACTCCAAGGCCGAGTCATTGTTGGCTATTTAGATTCCCGTGAGCAGCTGTTAACGTGCAGTCCGTTTGACGACATCAACTAAGGTTGATTCATGGAGTAACACTGTTTGTTTTCTGTTTCCCCTTATGCCCTTACCGATTGTAGCTCTGATGCTGCAAAGGTCGCTTTCTACCACGAACTGAACACGCTACTACGTAGTCTTACCGGTTCAGATATCATAGTTCTTACACTTTGGCGGTTATTTTCACAGCATATATTGTTGTGTCGCCTCCAAGTTTCATCGTTAACTAATACCTCGTAAGGTACTCGTTCTCAGCGATCAGTAACAACAGCTTCGACTCATTCATTATGCCCACGTCTATAGTCCCGAGCCTATATAGGTGTTTCGACATTGGTGCCATGATGATTCTCTGCTGCAGAAGGCACAGGTGAATCGCTCCTCAGGATGGGAGCAATGTGAACTGTGCACAGTTTGCGACCCATCAGAGCTTCGTCTAGGGAATAACCCTCGGTCATCGCCACGTTGCTGCTTGATAAACAAACAAGAAAGTTTACAGGGTCTCATCAGTTATCCCCTCTCCGCGCAACTTCAGAAGTGCTCGTTTGAAGGTGTCGACGAAGCGTTCGATTTGGTCATTAACTTAAGGGTGGTACAACGGAGCCTATATGTGTTCAATGTCTAAACGGGAACAAAACTTCATTAATTGGGCTGAAGTGAACTGGGACCCATTATCTTTAAAAAGCACATCTGACGAATCTCCTGGCTGGACATCTTTCGAAGACCGGTAATCGTGCTAGTTTAGGTCACCTGGCTAAGTGCTACTATCTACAGCCACTTGGAGTAAGCGTCGACAAGGACGAGGTACGACACTCCATCGATTGGACCAACGAGGTCTAGGCGAGGACAGTTCTCGAGGCAGTGGCCAGGATATCGGTTCTTGTCTAACAGGTAGCTTGAAGATTTATCGATATTTAGAACACATATTGGCATGCTGCTTTATGTCAACATCCGGACCAGGCCAGTAGAAATAACCACGTGCGATTGTCTTCATCTTGTCTATGCCCGGATGACCAGATTGAAACTGGCCCGTATCCTAAAGTTAACAAGCTTGCTCCATAATCTGGCGGCGTGCATTCGAGCCTGCTTAGAGGCAGGGCAACCCTCGCAGTATCCTTAACACACGTGCGAGTGGTAGTGTTTTCTCGGCAGCGAGACGCCGGTATGCTGTACGTACGTCCTGCTGATGCCTGAGTGAAACTGGCGTAGAACAGCTAGACTGGGTGGGTGGTACAACAACTCGGTCGGTGAACATAAGGCAAGATTCAACAACAAATCATGATTCGCGTTGACAGAACAACTAATGTGACTGGCTAGCCGAACAACGTCGTGGTGCCAGCTGGGTGGTTCGGGTTCACCCCGTTCCAGCAAATAGTTCGGCGGCAGTGTTCCGGGTTTTCACCTGGCAAGCGTTCTCCCTATATAAAGCCCCAAATGTCTGTTTAACAACACTGTGACGTGACGGTTATGACTCGCCACCAACTAAACTCACTCCATTGCCTACCTGGACAACTGCTTCAAGTCCACAGACATCAAGCATCCATTTAGCACTGGCGACATGATCTAAAATGCAGGAAAACATCTACAAATGCTATGAAGTTAGGTACACACGCCTACATGCACGCATACATAATTTCATATATCAGCATATGTGACAACCCTATTGTACCATTGACATTAACTGACCACATTTTGTACTCTTAACGTGATCATGCCTGTGCAGGCGTGCCTCGCTTAGTTGAGAATCAATATTTTATTTATTTTATGTGGTTCACCAGTGAGTCTTTCTGTACGCCAACGCGACCGTGTAAACGATCTGGTACATTGAAGAACTGGATCGTGCGCGGTTACTTAACTAATCTTGGCAGCGGTAACTGGAATCCCACGGACGACATTTGAGAACTGTCGACAGACGTGTTCCCCAGTAGATGCAAAAGCAATGACTGCGTCGTCTTCAGTTCGCGATAGTTGCTGATGAAGCGGGATAGCGCATCGGTTTTTCCGAAATTGTCGGTGCGATGTTACTGGGTCGTAAAGTTGTACCCCAAGAAGGTGGTTACCCGCGGTTGAAGACGATTATCAGAGTATATTGGGATACGCTTCTTGGCTCCAAATATGGGAAACAACGGTTTGTGGTCAGTGAGCATTATGAAGTGGCGAGCAAACAGAAATCTTTGGAATTTTTCGACAGCAAAGACAATACTCAAGGTTTCTTTTTCGATTTGTCCGTAATTTTTCTCAGCTGCGGCGAGCGTGCGCGATGGTCTTTTCAAATCCGTTTGGAAAAACCTAGGAAATAACTGCTCCTAAACATCTACTGCGACTACGATGGGTGTAATCGGATCGTAATGTGTTACATATGAGGTCTGAGTTGAGCATCCTCTTAAGCTTGACATGCATCTCCACATTCAGCAGACTAAACGCATTTTGTGTCATTTTGCAAGAGACAGTTCAGTGGAGCCCCGAGATCGTGCATGGCCGACAGCAACATCCTGGGGCATGTGATCAAGCCGCATCAATTGCTATCGATGTCTGCACCGCCTCGTTAAAGCTGTGGGATCATCATATGGCAGGGATGATTAGGTTTGTGTAACGGACGTGTTCTGCTGGGCCCAATTTTTGGGGGCGCGACCAGACTTTGTTCTCCTCATCTCGGTTTGTCATTTCAACTGAGAAAATGTCCGGGTGTCGCTTGTACTACTATTCAGACGTCACGCCAGTTTGCGGATCACAGTGAAAATATGAGACGTTTCGCGCAAGTTGATTCACTGACGGTAAATATACAGGGGAGCGAGGTGATCCCAGAGTAGGGAATTTCGAAGTCAACATTTCCATTAGCTTGATGTTAGCTTGCATCATTTGCTTCAAGTCAGCATCAACAGATAGGGTTGAGGAGAGAAAACCAACACTGTCGCCTGATTTGTTACGGTTTGGAAATCGCTCGGTTCACACGCTTCGCACTAGTTCCAATAGTCCGAAGCAATATATCGGATTTTCAGGCAGGAGCTTTAATGCGGGAAAACAAACCGACGACAGACAGGCGCCCAGCTGAAAGAAAGTAAAATTGGGGAATTTAAAAAGGCACCGGCTGAAAAGCAAATAAGACCGATGGATATCGCAGTGTCCCACAACTAGTAAAGCAACCGAAAACGAAGATGAAACCTTTTTTAAAGCGATGAAAACCGCGCCAAGGAAGAGTATTGTGCATTGTTTTGCTAGTCAGTAAATGGTCTCGAAAAACGAGTCACTCAAATATACCAACTCTCACATCAGTTAGTCAATGATAAGAAGTAAGACAAACTCGGCCTCCTTATGTTCC